AGCCGCCATGAAAACCACAATGCATTACTGGTACACAGCGCACGGACGTGTAGGACCCTGAAAGTCGTTGTGCGATTTTGTTTCATACGCAAAATCATAAAAGAAATGGCGAGGGCTTGTGTTCTCGACTGCCACAATGGTTCTCACGATCGTACGGGGACACGTCTCTCAAACTGAGTGAGTTTCTTCAGCTTTTCATCTTGGAAACAACAAAGGTCGCCGAGCTAACAAAGAGACGTCGCTCGGCATGAGTTTCAGCTGTAAGAAACATCACCTTCAGTAATATTTCCCGACACGTTTGTGTGTTCACGGCATTTTCACAAAGGTAAGGATGAATCGAATGATGTTTTAGGCGTATGTGCTGATTGATTACTGTGCATATGGGGATCAGAGTTGTTGACTTGTTTCTGTCTTAGCATCAGCAGCTACAGTATCTTGCTAACAAGCTGCAGAGCTACATAAATAATCCACAAGTCCTGTCTATTTTTCAGGCAAACCAGTTTATGAAGGTCTTGAGTCATCCTGACTGGGCTCCTTACAACGCTGTACCTGTAACCCCAGGATCAAGCTGCACAGACATCAGAGATGAATGAAGCTGCCCCCCAGGGGTAGCTGCCCACCCATGGTCCAGAGGTGGACAGCTGGGCTGCAGATTGTGTAGGTGCAGACGTGCTGAAATTAACGGCTTGCTGGAGGACGAGCTGTTCCAAAAGAAAATGGATGAGCAGTTCCTACAAGATGATGTGATGGTCAGCTCATGGGCTTCCATGTTCAGCTGTTTTGATGGGTGTGCTGACTCAGCTTCTTCCCCATCTACCACACACGGTCCGAAAACTTTCACCTTTTCAGATGTTCCTCCTAACTCTAATGCACCTGAGGCTGAATCTGCCAGTCCAGCACATTGCACACCTCTTCAGCACTGACCGACACACTGTGCTCATGGTTTTACTACAAAATTGAGACTGTGTGTTGTTCTTTGACTAATGTGTGCCCCAGTGTTGTTTGGAAACTATGAACTGTTATAGAACCTCGTCACCTGAACATGAACTAACCATTAAATAACACTGAACTGAACATGAACTCTTTAACAGTCTGCATATTGTGAATAAATGATGGAAGAATAATTTCATTTTCTAGTATATTTATTTGTGTCACAACAATGAGTTTTGAAAACAAGTAT